CGTGTCCACCATTAAAGTTAATGATGGAACTACTGCTGCCAAACTACCAGAAAACATTTTGTAAATCTAAAGCACTAAGTCAGGCAACATATTTGTTAGACCTTTTAATCAACAGCAAGAGAGGACCATTTACAGTTATGAATGAAAATTATATGAATTTGAACCACAAGGGGTCAGCAGTGTGTGAATGCTAATAAAAGAATAATATCAAACGTGCCATAAATGTTGTACTGTGCAACCTGTTTTGAGGGACTCTGCCCATGACAAACTCCTTCGTAAACACAGTTGCTCCACAGAGAACCTCACGCCCTAAAGACAAACCTGTGCCGTGGAGAAACGCCACCTCTCGTGAGGCTCGGCCCAGGTGCACACAGGCAGAGCGAAAGCGAAAGAAAGACGGTCAGCACATGATCATACACGGAATCGGGACGGAAGCGGAAGTGAATATAACAAACTACCTATTAATGCCTGAACTTAACCAACCATTCCCATAACACAACCCACCCTTAACCATCTTACCCTCTTACTCAGACGCCTAAAACTTAACCAGTCACCACTTAAAGTGGACATATCGTGTTTTCAAATAATAGATTTTTACATCTAAATCATTAATTTGTGGCCTATATAAAGCGTAACTGCAATGCCTGGGTCTGAGTCTCATTATTTGTAGCTCCACGGGCCTTTCTTCTACACCTGTTCTGAGGTGCGTCTGAGAGCAACCTGTTTTGGTGCTGTCTCTTTAAATGCAAATGAGGCGCTTTTGACCACCCCCCCCATCTAGGTGACACAGGTTCAACTCCACCCCGAGCGGCCATTTTTGTAGTTTCTAAGCACAGATACAATTATCTCATAGAAACTTCTCATTACATCGCAAACATGAAGCAGGCCTTCCTCATTGACTGAAAGCAAATGTTAATTTTCATTCTTAGTCCAGTCTTATTATCGACTCTTCTCTTTTTAGCTTTGGGATCCATGCGCACAGTCAAGGCAAGGAGTCTTATTCATATAGCACAATTCATACACAAGGCAATTCAAAGTGCTGAACAAAATATGAAAGCATTAAAATCATAAATAATCACAGAACATTAAAAAGAAAGATAAAAATATAAAATCCCTCAGTTGTATGCACAGCTAAACAGAACTGTTTTTAACCTGGTTTTAAACATTGTCAGAGAGGAGGCCTGTCTCACATCTTCAGGAAGACTGTTCCAGATTTTAGCAGCATGAATCTGAAAAGCAGCCTCCCCATGTTTAGTTCTGACTCTGGGCACTAACAGGAGTCCAGTCCCTGTGCTCCTCAGAGTCCCAGCAGGAGTCCAGTTCCTGTGCTCCTCAGAGTCCGGGCTGGTTCATATGGTACTAACATGTCACTAATATATTTTGGAGCGAGGCCATGGAGAGACTTGTACACAAGCAGAGCTCACATGCCGGTTTGTTTACAACAGCGGCCGCCTGGCGCTGGCCTACGTCGCAGGATAAGACTCACTACGTTGACAGAAATGTTTAAATTGAATATTACTTATGCACAATTTTACAGCATTTAAAAACGTTAAGAACATTTTTCCTTCTACAGAAGGAAAAAGACGCATGCACCTCCGGAGCCGCAGGGTGCCGACTCCTAGTTTATACAGTATGTGGAAGCAAATACTGTAGAGGATCAGGATATGCAGTTTCAACAATAAAATAAAATGCAATAGTCTACATTACAAGAGAGTAATGAACATGTCTCAGAGTGAGGGAGGTGGGCACAGACAACACTATTGTTTGTTACAGGGATGAGAATTGGTCAAAAAAGACTGAAATGCATATTGTCAGCCATTTGCTGGCTCTAAATCTGTTTAATTTGTTCACAACATATTACTTTTGGGCTCAAACATGAGTTTTTAATGCAATGCAAAATTTATGTATCAGAGCTTTATTTAGGGTGTTTAATCGCGCTTCGAGAGGAGAGGGGAGACGCGGACTGTTTCCTGCAGCAGTGTATTTATTGGGTTCACAGATTACTCAAAGACACGCATGGTCCTGTGCGCGTTTATGGGGTTGGGTACATGGCCACGTTGAGGCTGCGCGCTCAGCCACAACACGGTGGAGCGGCTGCGAGCGGCCGCTGGACGCTCACAGCCTCTCGCAGCCGCATTACAAAGCGGCCGCAGATGCCCCAGAACACTGCGGCCGCTGAGGTGGTGGAATCCCGTTCGAGTACATACAGCAGGTGCCCCGCGGATACGCGCGCCCCCTCGAACAATTCTCAACGGATTTACACTTCTCATAAACATGTGTTTTGTATGAGGCAGACAGACCGGCCCAAATATGGGCATCAGCCCTTTGGGCGGTGTCCGGTACGGCTGATGGCCAGTCCAGCCCTGTGCGCTGGCATCCTTGAGCTTGGACTACAAATTCGAAGTGATGCACAGTAGAGGAGGGCTGGGCCGAAGTGTTTTGTTAGACGCCCATGCCCTTATATAGCAGTCCCGCTGCAAATACTGTGACGTAATAATTCTAAACACCCATCCATCCATCCATCCATTTTCTACCCTTTAATCCATTTCTGGGTCAGGGGGGTGGCGGTCAGAGATGCCACCCAAGTCTCATAGCACCAGCCCCCTATAATTCTAAACACGTAATAGAGAATGGCAAAATCAGAACGGGTTGAAAAATCTTACCTAAACAGAATATGAAGTGTTCTCTGCAACCCATGAAGAGACTGATTTCAACTTTTTTGCATTTCTAGAGGCTCCAACTACACAACATAAGGCATTTAAGACACAAAAAGTGGATTTTTCAGTCCTTTAAGGACTTATTATTCTAAAACGAATTCGAAAGTACGAGTGTTACTTCCGGTTTCGTCCCGATTCCGTTTATGATCTAGTGCCGACCGAAGAAAGACCCGCTACATGTGTCTTATGATAGTTAAAATGACAGCTGGAAAATGTATCGGAAAACATTGAAAGATGAGCAGGTGAAATTTTTTTTCAGGTTTGGTGTCAAACACAGAATAATTTACAGAATCAGAATTTTTATTGCCACGTAAGCAACAGGAAGTCACACACTTGGAAATTGCTTTGGCTCAGTGCAACAGTCAGAAAGAGAGGTAAAGATTCAGATCAGATTCATTTTATTAGCCATGTGCAGTATAAAAACTACATTGGAATAATCACGGTGCACAACAGAGCTCTTGCAGCGGCGCCCTGGCAGAGCGCCATCTTTCTTACTCAGAGTAGAGAAGGCATAAAAAAAGGATTTTTTTTTTTTTAAATTACGTCTTTTATTCCAAATTGAATCTGTTTTAGACTCTTCAAACTCCACTCTTTTAGAATGTTGGTCTGAAAGATGAAAGGAATTTGTATCCTTCTTCATTGGGAAGTAGGGGTGCAACGGTTTGAAAAACATCACGGTACGGTTCATACCTCGGTTCAGAGGCCACGGTTCGGTTCATTTTTCTAAAAAAAAAGTTTTGTCTTTTTAATAAACACGGCTTATGTGGACTCGGCACCTGCTCTGACTGCCCCCCCTGACCTAGAAATGAATTAAGGGGAAGAAAATGGATGGATGAATGGAAGGCATATTCCATCCATCCAATTATGTCTTTTTAACATAATCAGTGAAAAACAACACAAAGTGCAACATAAGAAGGCACTTTATGAGGGTATTTACCTTCATATATTAAACCACCTTCCTGATTCTCCCAAGGAGGCGGTCCATTCTGGGCCCAGTCCAGCCTCATTCACTGCATTTATTTAATTTTTGGCATTATCAGTTGGGACTGGAATATTAGTACAGGGCCTTTGTCTTCCATTCCTCCGCTGCTTGTGTCAGTACCTGCGCTGTGTGACTGTGTGACTTTCGTAGAGCGGGCGCGTCTGCAGCGCCAGACTTTTCATCTCCCAGTCTGCTGTGATGAAGTTCTCCGTTCCGCTCATGGATCTATTATAGATTCCGCAGGACTGTGCGTAAAGGAGCTGCTTAAATGCCGCGGCAATAAGCGGTCGTTGAGACACTTTTTTTCACTCATGTCTTTCTTTTGCCACAGTATTTACACACTGACAGTTTTGTCGAATATTAATTATCAGTGTAGTTACAGTGAAGCCAAAATGCTCTCATACTGGGGATTTAAATGACGCGGGGCTTTTTTTTTCCTGGTACTAACTAAGTAAAAAAAATTAGGAACACGGGGTGGGAGCACATACGTTTTCATCATTAGGATCACTTTCAAAGATGGCAGATTATACTGTATAATCCAGCCCTTTAGACCCTGTCCCTCCAAAGCCGTGGTGTGGGGAACAATTGGCCAAAGTGTGTGTCAAGTGCTTAATAGTAGTTTACTCTCTGGAATAGTGCCCTCATTCTGTAAGCAAGCTTATTAGTCAACTGGAAATGTATCGTTTTTATTTTTTATCACAATGTTTTACTTATTTAAAAAATATAAGTATAAAGCTGGAAAACCTGTATTTTTAAATCTGTTACTTTTATCTCTATGCACCTATTTATAGAATAAGCTATATAAATAAAGTGGATTGAATTGGATACTTGCATTAGTAAAATTAACTCATCTATTCTGAAAATATTTTACAATGAAGGCACTGTGGAAAAGATTTGTGGTTATAATTGAGAAAGCTCGATCTAACATAATTTTGTATTACACAAATGCAAAACACAAATGGAATGACACGCTCATATTCAAAATCAGTTATCGGCATGCTTTATTTTATGCCAAACAGAAATTGCAAATGAACAGGCAAAAACATGCTTAATTGGCACTTAATGTGAAGCAACTAAAATCAGTGGTATAATAAATAGTGTCCTCTCTAAAATAATCTTCCATAAAAGAAAAAATAGGGTAAAAAATACATTCACACACCAAAATACAATAAACCAATAATAAAACACATCCTTTGGTCAATTCCTTGGAAAATGTAGTTCCTCTGAAGTCCTCATTTATATCATACGCACATTTGTCCTTAGTTTATGTGTGTGTTACTGTCTCTGTCCACAGGATGGCACTATGAGTAGATAGTAATGACTTCTCGGCCTCCTCCTCGCACCAACAAGACTTTGTCCAGGCCTTCTGTGAGAACCTCAAGGAACTCCATGTCTGAGAAATTCAATTAAGGTGAAATCACTACACCAAAAACTCAGTCAAGTTTATAATCATGGTTTGATTTGATCTTTGTAATAATATTTTCAAAGAAACTGATGTGGTTTGTTGCTTGAGGCTGATATTATGAACAGATGCCAAGAAAAAATAATTAATAATATTTCACTGATAGATTAGTTACAGTTTATTTGGATTATCATATTCTATTTATCCTTAATCAAGCAGGAAAACCTAATTTTCCAAGAGTGCCCTGGCCAAGAAGCTGTTCATTCACATTACACATCTGGCAACACAAGCGTGGGACTATACAACATGATAGGATAGCGTAGAAGTTAAATTTTCTGAAATATTCAATCAGGCTCAAAGTATGTTGCAAAAAATGGCTAACTACATCTGTGTTGCTCCCACATAAATGAGCACAGAGGTCTGATAAAAGGAATTTGGTTAGTGAAAATCAAACCTCCCAACCAAAACCATCTTTTCAATAGTGGTCCCCATTAGGGATGTAGGCTTTAGTAGTTTAGTCTGCTATAAAAGATCAATGGCTTCTTACTTGACCAAGATCTCTGTTAGTTCATGACTCATGGACAACAACAGAAACAAGAAAGCATGGAATCCATTAGTTTGAGATGTGGGAGTGAATTGTGTTTGGGTCAGGCACCAAAGGATACAGTTCTCATCCCCTTTCATGTTCTTCGGGGGGCCTGGCATGTTGAGGAGGACCAGCTGGGATTCCTTCGATTTCTTCTTCACGACCTCATTGAGCTTTACTGCAGTGTGCATCCTCCGTACATTTGACTGGTTTCTGCATTAAAAAACCTTGATTAATGAACTACAAAGCCTGCATAAAAAGCAGTGTGGCATTCAGAACATCAAAATGTCAGTTCTTCCAATGATCCTGCAGATATGTTCACATAAAAGCAAAAACTACACAAAAATAAATTACAAGCTCATGCAAATCTGCTATAAACATGCAGAACATGCATACACAGCACGGCACAAGGGTTTTACTTACAGATTCTCCCATTCACTAGAAACAGGAGCAAAAAACAAGACAATACCATTTCAGAATTGAGTAAGACAAAAAAAAATCATTCTAAATAAAGTACTTGCTGGACTACTAGGCACACTTGTGTATAAACAGCACCAAATACGTTCAAATGTGTTTTGTATTTTTCCACATACTATAGGCTGCACTTGAATATAAACTGGAGGTTTCCATGTTGAAACGTAACATTTGACCCACAGCGGATGGACATTTAATAGACCAAATCAAAGTCAATACTGTTTTTACTAATCCTAGTGATGATGATTAAATGCACAAGTCCCATGCATTTCCCTGTACTCCCCTTTATCAGCGCTCTACTGTTTACATAAACATACCAGGAAGCAGGAATTTGTGCCAGCTCAACTACTAACAGAGCTGTGTTCCTTCCTGCACCACAGGGGGAGCTCTAACAAAATTAGTATGTATCGCCCACATGGTGTCATTCTACATTTAGCCCTTATTGACTGGGATAGACCTGATTGTGTGACCTTAATCTTTTTAGTGGTTTGAAGAAATTCCTAGTTTTAACAATTTATTTTTAGTTTCTTTGTACAAACGATGTTAAATACTCACGGTCTCATACTGAACATATCCTTCACTGCCATGCCCTCTTTGTGCTTGGCTCGTTCACTGATTAGTTTGTCTTTGGTCCAGGTCATGTGGACTCGATCTGGAGGCACCGTGTTTGTGGTTTTGTCAGAATGAGACGCAGTGTTTTGGTCGTGGATCAACTGTGCCTGGTGGGAGGTGAAAAAGCACCAGTTATCTTTACGAGTGTTAGAATCATCCATCAGTTTAAGTGTTGGCAAAGGCTCATGGAGGTTTAATGATCGAATGACAAAGGATTGTAAGTGAAATTAGGATGACTTAAAAAGTCTATAGATGAAAAGTAGTATTGACCCTTTAGGTGCCAGAGTAGCAAAATAGCTGGATGATCTGTGTACATTTCTATTATTGATTTTAGTGGTATTCTATCCCATACAATTTCAGTACTCCACCTTTTGCCTGTGTCTCATAACATTTCTGAAAAAGCCCTGGTGCCTAAAGGGTTAATATGGTCATTAGAATACTAGTTACTTGACCAACACTACTGCTGAGGTTATTGTTGTAATGATTGATGGCAATGAGGATGGCAATGAGGATGACAATGGCAAATAATCTTCTGGGCCTTGTCTACCTCTTGCTCTGGTACAAAGAGGATGGTAACTGGATGGATTAGATATGGGGCTTTAAAAGCTGATGGTTTCTTCCTCTTTATGGACCCCCGAGAGACATCTGTGATGCTCTGAATCTAATGAGTAATTCAACATTATTGCGTTTATTCAACATTTAACAGAGAATATCAGCTGAGTATATTTTGATTAACATGTTCACACTCTTGTAGAAGGACAACACCATTTCTGAATTACACACTTTTACTGTACCTCTCGCTCCCTTTCTGTTCGGGAAAGTTGCATTTGTTTTAACATCTGTGACCTCTGCTCCATTACTAGAGTCTTCTCATAAGTGAAGGCAGATATGTCACTGTCATGCTGGCAATGGGAACAAAATATGTTAATATACTATTTTAATGTATTAAGAAAGAGTGGCTTTTCAATCTCACCATTTCCACCACCTCCACTACTGCATCTATCCGTAGGTGGTACACAAACATCTGCAGATCTTTCTTCATTTTGATTGAGTTATCGTCCATTTGGGCCACGGTGAATATTCTCATTCTGCACTTCCTCCAAACCTTCAGTAAATGAAAATGACTCTTGTAAAATACAAGCACATTTTGAGCTAATCTTTAGTATATGCCTTGTGTTGTCGCAATAGAAATGGCAGCAGCATGAGCAGTCCTCCGTCGTGTACAATCCACCATACGTCTATAGTGCCCTCCTTCAGGCGCTGGCTGTTGTCCGGGAAATGGTCGATGTTTTTAGCAACCAGCAGGGCCTGCTGTGCTGAGGTTGTCTCTCGCACAGTCTCTAAAAAGGAACAATACTGTACATATGACTACAGCTGCATTTATGGTTTAACGACAATGTGATATTTAAAAATTCATGTATTCAATGACATGTTTAATTTTTTTTTTTACATATTTCGGACCTATAAAGTTTTTTCGTGATTCTGGTTCCCTGGCCTGCTGCCATCCTGCTGGCCAAGCCATCAGAACTGCATTATGTTTCATTCCTCCGAGTCCAGCTGACTGAATTAGCACAGAAAACCCATCCCTTAGGTTTGACGACACAACTACATGATGGAAACCTTTGGTTTTCTCTGCCACCATTGCAGCTTTCAGACTCTATACAAAAGAAGATTTATTATATATGCAAGAGAAAAAACATGAAATGCTTGTTTAATTCTGACTTTCTCTGCTGTTTTGACGTCTTGCCCTCTGGTCATGAAGGTTCCCTGTAGCATAGAGCAGACGATGGTCAGGCCTTTTCCTGCTTTGAGCTGTGACGTGAACGAGAGGAGCCGAGGATGTTTCACTGATAGATCAGAGTCTGGCTTACACAGCACCAAGAGCTGTGGTCTGAAAAACATACACTGTGAATATATTATACATGGGCACTCAAACAGTTTGAAAACAAATGTATTTCACCTCCAATTTTTTGTGTGTAGTGGTGCCTCCTCCAGGCGAATTAGAGCGTAACGTGCTGCATTCAGGGACAGACCTCTAATACCATCTCCCCATTCTTTCTCTGCCCTAGAAGTAAACAGATTTACTGATTGTGTTACAACACTGACTACAAGTAAGAATTTTACTTGTAGTAAGTAAGTGGAACCCTCACCCTCTATATTCTATGTACTTGTATATACAACCAGCAATGACCATGGCCACCAGAGCATAGTACCAGGAAGAAACAAACATGAGTGAGAGACACAGACTCATTCCCAAGAAAGACAAGGTCCTGTAAAAATACAAGGTATTATTAACATGATAGTGCTATGAATCAAGTCATTAGTTTGGCTGAACTTTATACAAATATATATCTATTTGTGACCTCACCAGTGGTAGAACTTGAAGCGCGGCCTCCAGTTTGGAGTACGCAGTAAAGTCTGAACAGCACAGGCCAGATTCACAAACAGATAACACATCAGGAAGAACCTAAGAGCAAACACAGCCTTTATTATGTTGCTTACTCTATTGTACCAATATCTGCTGCACTTTCATATGTTTCTCACATGGAAAGGATAGGAGCCACCGCATCGAGGGATGCAATGAGAATTCCGATCTCACAGATGCCAACAGTCAGCAGCAAAGCCCAGGTTGGTTCACCATTAGATTTCCCATGACCAAACACCTTACCACAAACGCATAGAGAAACTCAATCTCTACACATAAAAGAACTCATGGACCAGTGGAGAACCAGAATGTTTAACTCTGACAACACTCAACATTACTTCTTAGGTGAAGTAGTAAAATAGAGTAGAGTAATATCTATAGAAACAAACTTGTAAAAAAGGTATGATGCCATCCCGAGCGATTGCCTGTAGAAGTCGAGGAGCCCCGGTGAGACTCTGAAGCCCTGCCCCGCAGCATGAGAAAAACGAACCAATCACAATAACCCAAGGCGAGGGCCAGGCCAGGATTCCAATAACTGGAATTTTTCCTATTGAATCACCAAACCTTAAAATACAGAACAATGTTGCCATAAAGATGAGCAATCTGTCTCAAAACAACACTGACGAAACACATACTTGTCTCTAAGAACAACCCCTTCAACGCATGCTCCGAAAAACACAACACACGAAATGTCTGAAGACATTAAGGAAGTTTTTTATCGTAGTTATTATTTTCACACACACACACACGCAAACACTTCATTAGTAAATATGTTTGCAACATTTTGACTGCAGATCCTGTAAGGATACAGATGAAGGAGGTTGTTAAAATGGCCATAATGGTCCCAACTGGTATCGACCTTTGGGCATCCCTCAGGTCTCCTGAGCGATTGGATCCAGCCATTATTCCTTCAATCAAATGATATTATACATCAACATGTAAATCAAGTATCAGCTTTTGTGTTTCACATGAGTTGTTAAACTTGCGTTTACCTGTGACTGAAGGAAAGTATATTCCCACCAGCAAAGTGAAGTAAGTTGTCATGTCGTTGAAGACATATGGTTTGTGAATGTCTTTGGACATGTCTTTAACTGGAGCAGAGAGCAGTGTTTTCTTCTCTAGTACCGTGCCAGCTGGACCATAGTCTCCCCAGAGGTTATCTGGCATAAAAAAGAAAAATCAAATATTGATATGGGGCCTGAAATATTGAATGTTCCAGGCCCAAAATACAATGGTTAACTTTCTATGAATCTACTCCTGTGTCATGTATTAGTACAGATCAGCACAATATCCTGCTTTATTTTTAACCATTATATCACCAGCAGTATAAGAAAGTAATGCATGCATTCAAATCGGATACAAAAGGTGGAATCACATATTCGGTAATAGGCGAGTTGTTGTACCTTTGATGACTCCACTGAGCAGACCTGGAATGGCTCTGATCTCTGTGAGGTTGTTGAGCTCGAAGTATTCGTCGCAGGTGTGGTTAGAGCAGAAAAGACCCCACAGCTGCGTCATCACAGTCATGTTCTCCACCGTCTGTGATTTTGAGCAACTTTCAAACATGTCGTTTTTCAGAGAGCGGTTCCCCAGAAGACAAACACTGCACAATAAAACCAATAATAATAAAATACACACATTTCATATAATGTTATTATTTTACAGGAAATACTGTTGCATCCCTTTTGTTCAGATTAATAGCTGACACTCTTTAGTATGTGTGGAAGATACTCAGTAAGTATAAGTAATATAGAAATCTATACCATTTGAAAACTTGAGAGATTAAATATTTTGCACTGTTTGAGCAAAATAAAATAGAAGACATGCATAGGTTTTAGTGTATTCATGGACCCTCAAAGATGCTCATGTAGAATCATTCACAACTACTACTCCTCAGAAGCCTTGGTGTCTACCAATATCAGCTTATTCAAGTAGTAAGTCCATAGCCTGAAAAATGAAAAGAAACTACTCTGCAATGAATAGCGTCACTGTTCTTGTCTTGTAAATCACTTATTTTATATTTGATGCAAGTATTTCTTGTTACTCTAATAATGGCTTCATGGGGAGCTTCCACCGTCCGGTACTATTTTATTTAACTTTCCTTCCTATTTCCAAATCAAATCCATAATCAAAAGCAAGATTAACATACAACACAACCCCTTAACTGCACCCCAACTCATTGAAAATATAAAAAACATTAAAACTATGAAAAAATTAATATCCAAACTACACAACTTCTTGAATACAGACCAAACAATACACACCCCAAAAGAAAAATGGAACCTGGACATTAACTCACCCATCACACCCGAATTCTGGACAGAAATATGCACCAACACCTTCTCCATGACACCAAACACCAATTTACAAATGATACAATACAGGATTATTCACAGAACACATATAACTGAATACAAAAAGCATAAAATGGGACTAACAGACACAAGCACATGCACTCAATGCACAATGGGCTCCACAGACACATACATACATGCACTGTGGGAATGCACACCAGTTCAATCCTTTTGGCACACAGTCACTCTAAAACTCTCTGACATCCTGAGCTGCAGAGTCCCGCTCTCCCCATCTCTGTGTCTATTGAGCGCCACCTCTACCAGCCCCATACCTACCAGATACACAAAATGCCTTCTGACATCTCTAGCTATCGCCAAGAGGATAATCTTACTAAACTGGAAAACCAAAAACTCAATAAGCATCAACCACTGGATCAACTCCCTCACTCATCACATCACCACACATCACCCATCATCTCAGGATGATAACGTACTGTCCTTTACGGAAACTTGGTCACCCTTCATCAAATACCTCAATATCACCGTATACTAATCACTAGTGTTTGGAAGCCTCCCCCACTATCCACTGGCACGCACGCGCACGCACATGCACACACGCACACACCACACACACAACACACAACACACACACACAGAATCCTAACACCATTAGTATTATGCTGCTAACCCTGTCACCACAGTAACCAAAGCCCTTTTTACCAAACCAAAACTGAAAAAATGAAAAAATGATAAAAACCAACAACAGACTCACACCTACTAGATCAGGCCATTCAGGAGGGGAGGCATGCGCTCTAGAGGTGACTCCCCTGGAGCGCAGACCTCCCACAGAACCCTGGATTTTTAATGCATAACATAAGCCACGCTCAACACACACATACAATACACACAAGATTAAACAAGGAAGTGGCCCTGCTGTCGCTGGAGGAGACCCCTCCAGCAATAGCATGTTCTGTGCGTATCTGGTGCATGTTTTTAATGCACTAGACGCGCACAAAAAATAAATAAATGAAAAAGTACAAATAATAATAATAATACAAAATAAGCAAATAAATATATTGTCACATAAACAGCCAAAATACGTTACTGGGATCTGTGGAGACAGCAAGTGGCAGCACTCATTTGTTTTTTTTTGTTTTTTTTTTCCGGTTGATTCACTGTTATTGCTCTGTTTTTCAATTTTTTCTATTTCTTCTTCAGACACATATGGTCACACATTTATACATATACACAAACATTCAAATACATTAACACCCACACTTACACATTAGCACCTACATATTTCCACGACAGTACTTGCTTGTTATTTTATTTTTTTTATTTAGTATTTTGTTTTTCTTCGTTTCATGCTCTAAATGCCTTAAAAATGCCCCCCCCCACTCCCCCTTCCCTCCTCCACCAATATATTCTGCACTACTATGTTGTACATAGTAATTTATGTTTTTTATGGAATCTGTATCACATGGTGTTAAATAAAGAAAAAAAAAAATAAAAATACAAAATAACTTTCCTTCCATCTATTCAAGTCGATCATGCAGGATTGTCAAAAAGAGTGATATACTGTATTCCTCTGGAAGAACTCCTCAAGCACATCCTTAATATCCTTATTATTTCAGTAAAAAAATATCATAAGATGATTCACTTTCTACTTGTCCAAACACGTCACTATCAAGAAGGCCTTGAAAAATCCTAGTGCAAGATGATGTCTGATGGTTATTGACATCATAACTCTACTCAAACCCTTTTGACCCGCCTCAGTGATTTTTTTTTTAGAGCTGAATTTTGATGACTTTCTACATAACTTGACCAGTCCTGGGTCATTTATCTTTCATATACTTTCAAACCACTTTGGCATGTCATTTTGACTGGAGGGTAGCACAAGGGTTAAAGGCACACCGTGTAACTCTTGGCCACTAGGGGCGCTAGACCTGCAACTTTCATGTTTAGCGCCCCTAGTGGCCACAAGCAACTCAGCACTGTCGCAAAAGTCAACAAACAGTCAGCCGGTGTCTTTTGAGTGTGTATTCAGACAGCATGCACTGGTGTGTGTGTTCAAACTGTAGAGACATGCCTACAGATATTGAGAGACTCTGCTGTGGTCAGCCTCCAGACCGCTGCATTAGTAATCTACCACACATGGACTTCTATATCCTGGATGAGGGAGTTCTGCGTCTAGCTCGTGCTGCGTGGAATGACATCTTTGCAGTCGATGACATCCAGGAACCAGGTGAAGAGCAGCGCTCATACAGACATGCAGCTTACAGCACGATCCCTTTCGCGTTTCCTCTTTTTAGCCTCCTCCGAAGGTTTAAAATTTTTCCTTGCCTCAGCCATGACCAGGAGTCGAGCAGGTGAAAAATGAGTAGCAAAAGCCTTAGCTCCATGAGTATATCAGCGCCTGTAGCCGTAAAGCAAGTCTTTCTTCCAAGTCACGTGACCTGGTGGCAGACTGTCCGTCTGCTCGAAACTTACATGGGCGGTATTTCAAGAGGGCAGCCCCGCTCGGAGCATTGCAAGTGTCAAGCGCTGTATATTGGCCCAAGTATTCATATAAAATAACTCATATGTGTCAACTCTTTAGGTCACAAAGTCCGCGGTGTGCCTTTAAGATAGAACAATGTAAAATGTAAATGTTTGCCATCAATAAAGCAAGGAGACACTTTGTGACAGATAACACAATACTAAATTAAAATGTAGCAGAAAGAAAAGTATTACATTTCACATTATAATCAAAATTGCCACAAATAAAGTGGGAACAGCTTTGTCATTTAAATCTCTTTGTACTGTATTTGCCTCAAAAGCCCCAATGCAATTTTAGTGAAAATAGTCAATTCAAGAGTACTTCTTTAGAGAGAATGGGCCTCATTCACGAACCATTCTTAGGAACAAATTTGTACGTAAATCCTACTTACGAGGATTGTGGCATTCATGAATTTTTTTCGTATCCAGAATTTCTCTGAGGTACGAACAAATCCCTACGAGTGCTCAGTAGCACTCTTGAGCACATTCAGTGCCGACATGTGCGCACGCTGGTGTTGTCTTTTGTGACGTTCAATAAAATACAACATTACAGTGATATGTTTGTTTTATTATTATTAGGCCGAGCCAATACGAAGTATTGGGGAGGCCTATTGTTATTCACCGGTTTCATATTATTCTTTTTTTTCCGCATCTTCAATTCGATTTTTGACCCTGAAGACATGCACGAAAGTCTGCACATGGGGGGTCTAAAACGACCGGTCCGGCGAAAAATTTGATAAAATGAACGTTTCCAGATTGTCCGACGCTCGCCGACTCTATAACGCCCCCTAGAAATTTCATTTTTTTTGACCCTCTGGGGATTTTTTTTCAAATATTGGAGTAGGTACACGAAATTCGGATGAGTGATAGATCTCTATGAGACGAGCATAAAAGCCGTTCTAAGCACATGTCTGGGACCGACAGGAAGTCGGCCATGAGGGGCCGAAGTTTCGCCACTAATTTGACTTTTCATTTATAAATTCGAACTAGTCCCTGGTTTTTCATCACACAGAGTTCTACCACGTCATTTCCCGCTCTGGACGGATTGAAGTTATATAATCATCGAAAAAAAGTTAGAAAATCTTCACCGTTTTCGTCCCTCGCCATGGCGAATAAGGCCTTCGTTTTGGCCATTTTCGCTGAGCCCTGAGGGCCACAGGCTCAGACCTACAGAGCTGAGACTCACATCAGTAATATTAGGTTATGGCCTGAACGCAATGACACTAAAATCATTCGCCCAATTTGAGCTCTTTAGCGCCACCTGTCGGAAAGTAATAGGGCACTAGTGCTCGGATCGGCCCGAAAATCGCTGAGTGTATTCTCTGGACCGACACGAGCAAAACATTACATTACGCAAAAGTTGTAAGTCCTACACCTGACCACTGGGGGCGCTGGAAAGTGAATAAATGAGCTTTTTAGGGCAAAATGTTTGTCCGATGAGGCTAAAAATGAATTCAGAAATACAACGTATGACCCTGAACACAACGATATGCAACACACAACTGTGAGTGCAACAGCGCCACCTACAGGCAGTTCAATGTGTTGCATTTTTGGCTTCGTACTAGTCCCTGGATTTTCATCGCACAGACTTCTACCATGTCATTTCTATATCTGGACGGATTGAAGTTATGTAATCATCGCATAAAAGTTAGAATTTTGTTATCGTTTTCATGCAAGGTAGTGGGGAATTTCTCC